ATTCCATATCCAAGAGTCCAGAACCAGAAGAGGCCCTACTACCAGCAAACAGCCTTCACCCGCATCTGGGGCTTCAGATGTTTCCAAATCCGCTGGCGGGCATCCTACGTGCAGGCCCAAGCCCGGAGGCTTGAGGTTGGGAAGCCCCAAGTTTTGCTTGCCCTCGGCCATCGGGCCCTCGGAGCAAGCCTCCCATTGCCATAAAGTGGGCTTAAAGCCGCCGCACCTCGGTGGGTCCAGAGCCACGCCAGAAGAGCAGTTGTCCCGCGGAGCGGTTCAGGAAAACTGCCTTCACGGACACAGATACATGATACTTCCCCTGCCAGGTTAAGAAGCCACTACGCTTGATTCGAGCCTTCAAGAGGTTACACAATGGCTTTCTGTAGGAGGGTTTGGATACGGATTCTCTCGCCTCAGGGACTAACGACCTCTCTGGAGATCGCTCCCAGCCCTGCTACTCGTGCCACTCGAGCGTCTTGCACGGCTGGGCTTTAACCAGGACTCGGGCCCCAGGAGCCTTGACCCCGGCACAGCTCCGCTCCCCGTGCTCTGCAGCCCCTGAGCCGCAGGCTCCAGCCGACAGACAAGCAGCGAATCAGGCGCTCGCACTGTGCCCCCTCCCCCCCGGGGCAGGCGCTGGGCTTCGCGGCAGCACGCATGCTCAGACTGCGGGGCGGACGACGCTGCGAGCAGGGGCCGGATGGCGGGCGCGGTAAGCGGGCGCGGGGTTGGGGAGACGTGCGCGAGGTTCGCGCCCCGCTGCCAGACACCCATGGGGTGACGTCACAGAGCGCCGCGTTCGGCACAGCGGAGCGGAGCTCCGTGACTTCGGCACAGCCGGGGGGGAGGGGCCAGGGCTGGTGCCGGAGGCGAGGACCTTGCGGGGTCAGGGGGGCATGGAGAAAGTCGGGGGCTTCCGGAGCGCAGTTTGTCCTGCTCCCGCCTGAGGCAGGAGCAGCCGCACCCAAATCCTCCCCTGCGAATCCAGTGTCTAATCTCTTAGCAAAACTGCCTGGGCGCTTATGCTGGCAGCAAAGCTGCTCCGACTTAGGGCAGGTGGGAACAGACCCCATCGAGTCTGGTGCAGCGTGCGTCCCCAGCAGCCTCCAGTGTGTCAGCATCCCCACACTTCAAAATGGTAGCGGGGGGCACTTTGTCTAAAGCTCCTTGGACCAGCTTTAGATAATATGCCTCTGCTGCCATTTTTAAGCACAGGGACACGAATACATGAGATCTGAACCACTCTAATTCATGTCCCCATCTCCCCCTCCCCCCAGAGCTGCTATAATTAAAGTGCCCCTCCACTCCCAGAGCATGTGTGTAAATGCCCCATGAGACCTGAAGAGTGCCCAGTGTCCCAGAGCTTGTCTGACTCCATCCCAGCTCTCCAGCAGGTCCAATAAAGGATATGGCACTAACAAAGCTTTGCCTCTCTCCTTGCAAGGGGGCTGCCGTTTGGTTGCTGTGAAAAGGGCTGTAGTATCGGGCTACCTCGCTGTCTTAATAAGATCATAGGCCCTTTTCTCTTTACCTGGCAAGCCTCTGCCCTCCTCTGCTTTTGAGAAATAGGAGAATAATCCTTGTTAGACTGAAGGAGTTTCTGACCAGTCCTACCTAACTGCAGCGTGAAGGAAGCCTGTGGCTTGCATGGAAACATGCTGATTTTGAATTCTGAAATGGGATGATTGAACAGAGGTTACCGTGGAAGTTTTTTTAAGCAAGACCCTGTTGGGCCCAGGAAAAATGAATTGGCTGCTTTCAAAACTGCCTGGCAGTCCATTGCTTTCTTCCATTGACTGCATCATACCCCAGCAACTGGAGTCAGCCAGACTGTTTGTTAAAAGCTTGTCCTGTCCAACAGTTGTATCAAGAAAGTATGCAGCTTCCCTTACTGTTGTCAGGGTGCAGCTGTAATGCCATATGTAAAAGAGAATGGTGTGTTTTGAAAGTCCAGCTATTAAGTTAGTACAATTGTGCTAATATTAGTAATAAAGAACAGGAAATAAAAAATATCAAATAGCTTCCTTGGTACCAAATAACCAATCCATGGTGTTTGTAATTCCTCTTTCTATGTCAAATAGCAAGCTTTTCTAATCGTTTCTTCCCTGAAAGATTTGGAAAAGAAAACAACAGAAAAAAGCTCTAATTCTTTAAATTAGCTATCCTTTGATACCCAAATGTTACTTCTGAATACTCAGTAAGTCTTGATAAACATGTTAACTATTTGTTATTTCACTTCATCTTTAGGAAAAAACAATGCTGTTTGATTGAACCATTTTTCAGACTGACATGGTTTCAATGGGCCCTGTGCATCACCTATGAAATTCTAACTTTTGTGCAAAGAAAAGGAAGATGTTAAAATATTTGTTACAGTTCTGCTTTAGATATTTTCTTCTAACCTTTATTTATTTAATAACTGGTACATGACTCTTGTTTTGAAAACAGTTGCTCTAAAATGCTCGTGCTTAAGTTTGGGAGGATGAGAGTTTTTAATGGAATGGAAAAAAGAGATTTGAAAATGGTAAATAATTTACTGGGTGATGGATCCTTTTGAACTTTGAACTTCCACGCCTTCTTCCTCCCCCTTAAAAGCTGACTAGATTTTCTAATAAACTCACAGGCTTCTAGTCATCGTCTCCCAGCATTGTGGCTGATGGTTTCTATGCAGCTGGTTTGCCAAAGTGCATGTAGGTGCAGGATGTCCATAAAGCCAGCAGAATAAATGAGCCTTAGGTTTGTGAAAAGGGCTTGGAAAGAGGTTGTCAGAGTTCCAGAGTTAATTGCCTCTTTCTCCCCCTCTTGACCTCCACAGCAGCACCATTATAGGTTGGCTGACCATAAGGAGATAGATCCTGGACAACCAGGACATCTGGGACACTGCCTCCCTCCCCCTACTTACTCCCCCCTCCCATCCCACCCTCATGCTCTCAAACCAGCAAGGTGCCAGGCCACCTTCCAGGAAGGTAGCCATGTATGTCTGCCACTTGCAAACTGTCTTGCCACTCTGACACCCTGCCCTGCGCCCTTGCATTTCTGGCATGATCATTATAATTCTCCTCAGCCGGCCAGAACCGGCCTCTTCAATCCGGGACTGGCCCAGTTGGTCACCCTGATTATAGGTCTCCGAACTCTAGCTGTCCCCTTCCCAGGATGAAAACTTGCATTGCTTACTCCAAAACAGCATTTTAGGGCTATAATCCCCTTACAGTTATTGGGCATTTTTACATGTGCAAGTGCCGCAGCACTGGGCACTTTCAAATGTGCCTGGTGCTGCAATGCTTGCAGTTGTATAAGTGGTGGAATACTCGGAGGAGCCATTTTCTCCACGCTGATATGCATTTCGCCACTTATACAACTGCACGTGGCCCAGCACACATCAGCTCACGTGGAGCAGACTTGATTAATTAGTTCTGCTCAGAAGTGGCAGATCTCCGACACATCACCGAACAAAAAGGTATGTGTATAAATTCCCATTGTGACTAGTGCAGTAGATCTGAGTTTACTTAGCACCTGAGCGCCATCTTTCTGGTGTTCTGCTTTTTCTGAGGCAGTGAATTAACTAGTGGCCAGCGAGCTAGCTCTTGCAAAGCATAGTAGTTCTTATGTTAGAATAAGAGCATTCTACAGAAAACATCATAAAATAGAGTCTACTTGCTTGCTAAATTTACTGGTTATGCTCCATCACCCATATAGAGTGCATTACATAAGTTTGTCCATTCTTAGTTCTAGAAGAAGTAAAGGAAGGCTCTGCCTTTATACAGGTTAACTTCTTTGTCAAGCCTTCTGAGCCAGGTTAAAGCTAGTCAGTGCTGTTTTCTTTAGGAATTTACATTAATTACCCTGCAAAGATTATATATAAATACCTTTTGCTTAACAGCAGTTTGTTTAAATCATCTGTAAAATATCAACATGCTCATATCTGAAAGCTCCACCTATGCAAAATATTAAGCCTGTTACAGAGGTAACTTAAGCCTTATCTGCCTTGGAAAATTGATTGGCGCACTGTTATAAGCAGTGTTCCCTCTAAGCTGCATGTTGAGCGCGGCTGTGTAGGCACGCTTGGCAGCATGGCATGAGCACGCCTGCATGGCCATGCACACCACGCAGCTTAGAGGGAACACTGCTTATAAGTGAGCTATTCTAGAATAAGTCTCCTGGGGGTGGACGCTATTCTGGTTTGTCATGTTTATTCTGAAATAGTGGCCACATACCAGTATTCACAGAGCAGTTTGTACCATAGTAGTTATGCTGGTTAGTTTCTCTGTTTAGCAAAGGCTATATAAACTCAACCTCCAAATTAATTCAAACTGACCTATGTGTTCTGTGACAGCTGACATGAGATCTTTCTGAAAAATCTCAAATAACAAAGCTGGAGACGCATTTAAAAAAAACCCCTACAGAACAAACACCCCACCCCCACCCCCCGAAATCTAAAGGCAGCCCAATCCTTGTTGTGATATGACCTGATTTTTTTTTTTTTTGCTCTTGGTTACTTGGCTGTAGCTTCCATTTACTTGCTTGGTGCACAACATAGCCAAAGGCAGAATTGGACCCATAGATGCTACAAATGTCCTTTTTGTTTTTAAGAATCTAAACTCTATTTACCTTCAAAATAAACCCATCTTTTTATGGTGGCAGAGATGAGTTTCCTTCTGTGATCCCTGTTAACTGTAGTATTTGAGTATTTTCCAAGTATACTTGGTCAGACTTCTTATATAACGTATTTACTCGAATCCAAGATAAGTTTTTTTTTTTCCTCAGGCAGTGGAGGCGAAGCCCCTTATCTTGGATTTAAGTACAAGGAGGATGTGGCACAGGTGGCTGCTTGGCTCTAGCTCTGGCCCCAAGCCTGGGTTGGGGCCAGTCTGAGATATGGCAGCCACCTGCCCCCCACTCCACCCTTGGCTCCATTTCTTGCCAGGTATGGAGCACATACAAATTCTGGCTCCTGCCCAGTAATACAGCAGCGACAGCTCCAGCCCCATTATGTTATGTTGCCAGACAGGGGCCAGAGCCTGCATGTTCTATGTTCCCAGGAGGGCATAAAACCAGAGCAGGAGTTGTAAGCAGTGCAGGGGAGGTGGCAAAGGCTGTGTGGAGCAGGTGCTGCTTTTTCTCTTCAGTAAACAACAAGACATTTATTATAAGTGAAATTCTTTGTTCTCATTTAGGTTATTAAATGCAAGGCTGCTGTTGCCTGGGAGGCAGGTAAACCATTATCTATTGAAGAGGTAGAAGTTGCTCCACCAAAAGCTCATGAAGTTCGGATCAAGGTAATCATGCAAGTGTTTATTGCTTACTTTCATCTTTGTACTTTGGGAGATTAAATATTTAAGCTTAATCATGTGTTTGCCTTTATAAGAGAAATGTTGAATTAGGGTTATGAGTTTGTTTGAAACTTAGGTAAGATATTACAGGGTGTGTTACTGTGAAGTAATGTAAAATGGTTACTAGTCTAAGACCAAATAGTTGTTTTAGTTTTTTGTGTAGGCCAAAAAAATTACTGTTAGTCTCTCAGGGACCAGTGACAGTTTTAAAGACTAAGCTCTTTATGAGCCATTTGAGCTAGAAATATAGCTCATCCCAGTGGAAAGGTGTAGCTTTTCGTCTTTCCAGTGATTTAATACATTCAGTTTTAGCTGATCCAGGTTGTAAATTATCAGACTTGAAACTGTCGCTATGATTACCCTCTTGCCTTCTCCAAACATTCACCCCTAATCAATAGCTCCTATGTCCCAAACTACTATACACAAAGGTACAGTTTGCCTCCATACAAGGCCCAGGTCCTGTTCACTGTTTAAGACTTGAATTAAGGGCTTAAATTAGATTTATGTAACACAGGGTGCTTTATGAAAGCCCTGTGGGCAGGGGCGATTTTTACTTTTGGAAATTGAGACAATATCCTATTTAAAATCTGGGCTGCCATGTTGTTTTCAGATAATTGAGAGCATTGGTTTCTGGCTTTAGCAGCTCATGAGCTGTCAGCCACTAATTTAATGATAGAACTCCCTTGAGAGAGTGAGAAAGCAAGAAGAGATTGTACTAATTTTTTTTTTCCTGGGTCCACATATTTTGTGACCTGCCAGAACTAAAAACACATTGGTTCGGGTTACTGCAAAAGTCGTCATTCTTAGTAAATTCTTCCTAGGACTACTTCTGGATTACTGCCAAGGAAAAAAATAGTTCCAGTTTATTGTTAGAGTTCTCTCTACAACTGCTAGAATATTACAAATATTTTTGCCATTCTTTCAGATTGTTGCCACTGCTGTTTGTCACACTGATGCCTACACTCTGAGTGGTGCTGACCCGGAAGGATGTTTCCCAGTGATCTTGGGTCATGAAGGAGCAGGAGTTGTTGAGAGTGTTGGGGAAGGAGTAACTAAATTAAAACCAGGTAAGAAAACATTAGGATTTTTAAGAATTCTGTTTTACAACATTCTTATATGAAGTTACACGAAGAAACAGCAGTTTAACAAATTAAACAGTCTTAAGATAACAGTTGTCTAAATGTGCTGTTTTCTCCTACAGGGGTGTAGGTTGTAGCCGTGTTGGTCTAAGGGCATGGGCAGACAAGGTCCTTTGGGTGAATCTGATATCTTTTAT